TCTCCGACCTCCCAGCCTCCCTGCCTGGACCAGCCTCCCAGTCTCCCTGCAGGTTCTTCACTCCCCTTAGCTCCTATGGCACACCCCACACGACCTCCAAAGAAGCTAAACGTGCGACTCCTCTCACTCTACGTTGGACACCCTTGGGTGGCTCTGAGTGCGGGCTCGGCCATGGCTGCCGTCTGCGTGCTCCCCGTCCCCGACGGCCACGCTGGCCCCTTGTGGTGAGGTGCAAGCGCTCTTCCCCAGGGCCGCCTCATGCCCTGCTTCTGCTGCCTGGAGCCCCTCTCAGCTCCGAGGCCCCTCCCGCAGGAAGCCTGCCCTGACCACTGCCTGGAGTGGACCTGCACGCTCCATTTGGTTCCTTTTCTGGGTGCTCTGGAAGGCCAGGTCCTGCCTGTCTTGTCCCTGTGGAGGCCCAGCCCTGGCACAACCCCCCCCCGCCCAGGCAGACTTAACCCAGGGGGCAGCATCCTCGCGGGGACCAGGACTCCCTACCTTGGGGTCTGTCCCTCGCGGGGTCCGACTGCAGGGCCCTGCTGCAGGCGGCCAGGCAGTCCTCATGCCTGCCACCGTGGAGCAGCGCTTCTGGTGACAGGACCTCACTCCAGGTGCCCTCGGGGTCCAGGGCAGCCAGGAGGCCCCGGCAGTCAGCCTCTTGCTGGCCGTCGCTGACCGTGGCCCGCGGCTGTGCTGAGACATGGTCCCGGAGGGTGCTGAGCAGCGTGGGGAGGTAGGGACGCTGGTGGGTGTGGACGAAGGCCGCGGTCCGGGCTGCGCTCGAGGCGAAGGCCTGGAGATAGTCGGCCACGCCGGCGCCTGCCTGCTCCCCAGACAGGACCCGGGCCAGGGCGCGGGTCAGCTGCAGCTCCAGGGCCTGCTGGGAGTGAGCGTCCAGCAGGGCAGTGCAGCGCTGGGCCACTTCCCTGTGGCGCCCATGAGCCAGCAGCCCGGCCAGTGAGTGCAGGACAGCCGCCGGGTGGTCAGGGCAGAGGGCACCGAGAAAGGCAGAGGCCAGAGCCCCCGTCAGGGAGACCACTGCCATGCCGTCCCAGAGGATGGTGGGGATTCGGCTGTCCCCACAGCACCAGGCCTCCAGGGTGGCCACCACAGGTGCTCCCCGAGCCTCGGCCAGTGCCCCTTGTAGCCTCTGCACGGCTGAGGGGGCGTGGCAGCTGAAGGCAGCCAGGTAGAAGGCCGTGGCCAGGAGGGGGTCCCCCAGGGCCAGGTGCTGGTCCCCCTTCCGGCAGAGGCCGGCCACGAGCTCCTGGGCTGACATCACACCTGGGGGCCCCCCTGGCCCATGTCCATCCTCACGGGTGCCTGTTGGAGGGGGCTGGGGTTAGGGTCCAGGTGGTGGACATCCACTGGCCCTTTGGCCACCCAAGACCAGCCTCAGGCAGCCTCCCCTGACTGGCCTCACTGAGACCTCAGGGTCAGTGCACTGCAGCGCCCCCTCAGCAGGTGGTTCTCGGGGCTGGGGTCCACCAGGGGTCCCTCCTGCACCGAGGGGGCCGACCCTGCCTGCTCGGGTCTCTCTGAAAGCACCTGCCCCTGAGGCCCACTGGGGGGAGTTGGGTGGTCTGAGGGGACGCCCAGCTGTACCCCTGCCCCTCCCAGCAGGGCCTCAGGAAGGCCGTGCAGCCTTGGCAGCCCCCACCAGGGCCTGCGCCCTGCTCACACCTGGGTGACCTGGTTGGGCACCGTGGGGACCTGCCTGGCTCTGGGGTGGGGATGGGGGCAATGCTGGCCCACGCCATGGGGCTTGGCTCTGGGGGTTCCAGGCCCCGGCCAGCCCCTCCCTCCCCACTGCTGAGCTGAAGGACTCAGGGCCTGGACCCTCTTAGTCCCCAGGGACCACAAACAAGGATCCCTCGAACCCTCCCTGGCACACGGAGACACAGGTGTGCACACTCACAGACTCACTCAGGTCCCTGCGCCCCAGGCGGAGCCGGCCCTGTGCTGGGGGGCCGCGGCCCGGGCAACCCCACTCCTCCTGGCTGGGTAGAGGGCTTGGGTGGCTCCACAGCAGCCTGGTTGCTGGGTTCTGCAGAGCCTCCAGTGGACACTGCCCAGAGGCTGGGCCCAGGCAGAGCCTCCTGTTGCCCTGGAGAGCGTCAACACCCTCCCTCCCGGCCTGGCGGCCCAGCCCCACTCAGGCAGGGCCCCTCTGTGCCCTGCCTCAGGCCCTTATCCCTGGTCATCTTAGGGCAGAGAAAGGAGTCTTGGGCTCAGAGGGTGGGGGTGAAACGCTACCCAGGGTGAACCCCACCCAACACTCAGGTCTGTACTTGCACCTTAGGACTCTGCCCTGCCACCAAGGCCTTTGCTACCCACCCACCCACTGCCTGCAGGGCACATGGCCAGGGTGCTGAGGGTCTTCACTCTGGGCCGGCACATAGCCAGCTCCCTGCACCCAGCCTTCCTGTACAGCCTTCCTGCACACAGCCTTCCTGCACACAGCCCTCCTGCACAGCCTTCCTGCACCCAGCCTTTCTGCACAGCCTTCCTGCCCACAGCCTTCCCGTGCACAGCGTTTCCCTTCCATTTTCCTCCTGGCCCTGGCAGCCCTGCTGAGCTGCCTGACCTTTTTCCTGGTGAGGCCCAGACACTGGGACTAGAGTTGAGGACGGGGTGCAGTGTGGGTGCTATTTCAAGGACCCCCTTCGGGAGCAGGAAGGGAGATGGACTAGTTTTGTGTCCAGTTCAGGATGCCCAGGTGCCCAGATGCCAGGCCAGTGCACTGGAGGGTTTTCTGGGGGATGGGGGCCCGGCCAGGTGCTGGCTTCTGATGTCCTTCTCAGCAGCCAACCCTCCTGAGATGTGGCCCACTGGACCAGTGCCTCTGTGGCGAGTGGCAAAGGCAGAGGCTGGTGGAGGTCCGAGCGTGCAGGCAGGTGTGGTCAGCACGGAGATCTGCCTGTCTGGCCTGTCCTGTTCTCTGGTTCTTGACATTGATGGAGGCACTCCACAGGGAGGTGACCGTTCATGAAGAGATTTCCCATTACTTTGCTTTTGTTATTTCATTTAATTACCCTAATTAGGCAAGCACAGTAATGGAGCTGGCTGTCAGAGGGGGCTGCAGGAAGGCCTGGGGCGCAGAGGTGGCAGTCTACATGACAACTGCAGGCACGCTAGCCTTGATATGTCCCTGCGTCTCTGCTGGCTGGGTGAGGACTCACAGGCCCTGGCCGCATGGACTGGCCTCCTGGCCGGGTGCCCCCACTCAGAGCCCAAGGTGCCTGCTCTGTGCTGTCTGCCACACTGTGATCTGATCTCTGATTCTGCTGGGGCTGGAGGGGGCAGGGGGCAGGGGGCCGTGGCCGTGGAGTGTCAGGGTCCTGGCTCAGGATGAGGCATGGCCGTGGCAATCCACGTGGAGTTAGTCCCTTTGGACTGAAGCACCCGCCACCAATTCCGCCTTGAGTCCAGCTGCAGATGGCTGAGAATTTGCCCTTCGTGTCCTGTGTCTGCCACAGCTGGGCTGGGACAGCATGGAGCGGTCACAGCTCACCCAAAGCCTCAGGGGAAGCAGGAGTTCACTGCTGGGAAACGTTCATTAGGCACTGGCTGAATACACTGCTGCTGAACTCCTGCTGTGCTAGAACTGAGTAAGGCCAACTCTGTCCCCAAGGTCCTGTGCGAACAGTGACTCTGGGGGTGCTTCTGGCCCAGGCCATTCCTCTGCTCTGCTGGTCCTTCTATACAGTCAGGCCTGGCCCAGTGAAGGGAGGGCAAGCACCCTGAGCTCAGTAAAAACTTCCTGTACCCAGACTGTCCCAGAGAAAAGAGCTGCCGTGGTCCCTGCGAGACACCTGGGGAGGGCCCATCCTGGTCAGCAAGACACCTGGGGAGGGCCGTCCCAGTCCAGTCCTGCCTCTGGGAATCCCATGACCAGGATTCCCTTAGGTGCAAGTGGGAGTCGGCAGTGAGGCCGTCTGTGGAGGTAGAGGCTGGCCGTGACCCGGGCTGGCCTTTTGACCTTCTTGTTTTTGCTGCTGGTGGGGTACTGGGCAGCTGGGGGCTCAGTGGAGGCCCTCTGTGGCTTCTTGGGGGCTCTTCTGTCATCTCCAGAGAGAGCATGGGGGACTGCTCCCCAGGGACTCTTTACAGTCCCTTCTCCTGGCCCTTGAGAGCCCTGGAGAGACCCAGTGAACACCATCTTTCAGAAATGGCACAGCTCACTCAACTGGTGGCCAGTGGCTGTCCTTGCCCACACCCTGGCTTCCAGATACCTTGGTGCCCTGAAAGTCAAGCAGTGCCAGCCGCAGATCTGGGAGGTGGTTCTGAGCCGGTCCTGTGCTCGCCAGCCCCTGCCTGCAGCCCCAGGGCAGCCCCCTGAGGACCGGCCTCTGGGACTGCTCCTCCTGCCAGGGGGCAGTCTGGGCCCCTCCTGATACCGAGAGCTGCCCTGGAGTGAGCTGGCCCTGTCTACTCTCACTTATGGCACACAGGAGAAGAGAGCAGGCCCACCAAGGCCTGCTCAGGCTCCTGGGAGGCCTGAGTGTCCCTCCATGATGGCTTCTCCAGGCACCAGCCTGTCTACCCAGCCGCCCCCCGCAGGTACTCACCCCAGGGCAGACACACCAAAGTCAGCCTAATCCAAGAGAGGCGTGTCCATGACTGCACCCCAAACCCCAGCCGGCCACCTTGGGCTTTGTCCCTTCCCACCAACCCAGGAGACAGGTGCAGCCCTGGCTCGATGTCATCCAGCCCTTCATAGCCACCTCTGTCACACATGCCAGGTGCACTGTGAGGCTGTGTGAGCTTACCAGGGGTCTCCCGGGGCCCAGGACACCCCCTGAAAGGCTTTGAGCACCCTCGCCCAGGGAGCTACCTAGACCCCTGGGGGTTTACCTGGGGGAGCGCTCAGGTGCCAGGACACCTTGGGTTCAGGAAGTTTCAGCACCTCCCTCCTGCCACCTCTGAGCCTGCCACCACCTAGGGGACTCAGGCTTCCGAGCAGAGCTGTGGGTTGAGCAGTCTCTTGGTGCCTGGCCTCCTTGCTGGCCTGGATCATGGGCTCCGCTTCTCGCAGAGGGCTGGGAGTGGTGCCTGCCAGGGAGCTGTCTCCTCCTGTCCCTGGGGCTCCTGTTCCATCCCTCCATCAATAATGCAGGGAGAGGAGTGTCCCTCTGTTTCCCTGTCCCCCACCCACCTGCTGCTTCCCGCACATTCAGTCTCTGTTGGTGGTGTTCCAGAGCCAGGTGGCCTCTGGGGTGAGGGAGGCCCCGGGAAGGGGAGCAGGCCTGCAGTGCTGTGTCCTGGGCGTGGGTCTGGACAGAGGGGCTTTGGGGCTCCTCTAGGCTAATGTCTCAGCTGTGAGTTCAGCAGAGTTCAGGGGGCAGCTCCAGGAGGGGAGGCCGTGGCCTTCCAGGACCAGTCCGGTGGGGAACCAGTCCTCTAGGTGGGGGCGACTTTTCCGAGGACCCTCAGGGGATATTCGGCCTTGCAGTGTCCTGCCACAGGGGCCGGCCAGAGTGAGGGGCCGCCTCCACGGTGGCTTCTGCACTTCCTGTTGCTCAGTGTCCACCTGCGAGGCTTCCCCCTCCACCGTCCTCGAGGCCCATGTGTGTCCTCTGCTGCGGGGGCCCCGTGCCCCACCCTCTTCCGCCAGGCTCTCAGCCCAGCCACGCAGTCCCCTTGCTGTGCGGGACCTTGCCCTGTTCCCCACAACCTGTGCCCCAGGCCTTCGCACGGCTGGTCCTTGTGCCCCACCTCCCCGGCTCCTCCTCACATCCTAGGCCACCGGCTGGGCCACCCAGCACCGGCCCACTTATGGGAGCCCCTTG